TTATTCAGTCTACTATTAGTTCTCACACACACACACACACACACACTCTTATACCCTCTCATATAGTCTAGTATTAGTGCACACACGCACATAAGACATATATTCAATTTTAGTTTTGTGATTGTGTGTGACTGTTTGTGTGATTGTGTGTGACTGTGATGTGTGCATGTCACAGTAGGGTGTTTGAGAGGAAAACATAGTTTTGTTGAGAGTGTGTGTGTGTCTACTGAGGTGTGTCTTTGGTTTTAGTGGTGTACGTGAGAGGAAAAAAAGTTTTTTGTCCTAAACGGCCCCCCATACAGTAACCCTGCCACACAAAGCAACTACAGATGTGTAGAATGCTTTACAGCAAACATCACTTCCCTATTTCCACATTCGTTATAAAGACGGAAGACGATGCCATTAAGTTTGCCTGAGAGACTGTATATATTTGTGCAAGTTGTGCAGTCTTCTTTCCTTCTGGGATCTCTACATGTATTTACTGTGAGATTATCAAACATAACATTATATTCGTCAGTTTCAAGGCAAGTAAACTTGTCAGTTCATCAGTCACTGATGAGTAGGTTGAGGTGGAGTTGGGGGACGTTTCTTGTTTTCAACATCATCATATGACCTTTTTTCAACACGGATTCATTGCCTCTATCATCTTTCAAACAGAACAGTCACTGGAAACAGAAATGTGGTTCAATCCAACAGCAGGTGATTTCCCCATGGGAAATGTTGTCTTCCTTAAGGCAAAACAATAAAGCTTTTGTCCACTTGGGAAAGCCAAAGTCGACCAAAAATGAAAGTTCTTTAGTACTGTTTTAACATTCCCATCCTTAAAAGAAAGTTATTCTCTTTGACACATCCTTAGCCCCTTGGTGCGTTCACCGCTTCATCTGTGCTAAATCTGTCTTATTTTGCTCAGAACTGACGCTTTATCAGGTTGCCACAACCTTCTAATCCTAATGCTTTTATTCCTATAGGCATGTAGATTTGGGAAGGTTTTGGAAGTATTCCACTAAAACAGTTGTTCTTATTGACATGATGGCATCAAGTTAGACAGAAAACTTAACCAATCTGACTGAATGATCTGGTGGAATTGTCTCTGTAAATGGCCTTGAGTTGACTTTTGTTAGGAATTGGTGGAGGAAATAAACTGAATTGAATTGATGTACTTTCCAGATGCAGATTTAGGCCTAATCTACCCAAAGTTGAACACAATATCTTTGCACGAATGGCTTGGAAAAAAATAGTTTCCATACAAATGTGTGCCAAGGAAGATATTATGGTAGAAATGTCGGGTTCTTTAATGCCGCTGTGACACTGCCACAGAATCACACTAAAGAATGTGATGCGGCGGCAAAGAGGCACGTGCTGGTTCCAGAGGGGAATGGGGATACAACGTTATAGTTACAGATGAATATATAAAAATAAATGAAGTGTGAATTACATGTCGACACAGAAACATTAAACCCGCATTTTTAAAGTTTTCCATTCGGGGCCTCCTGCAAATCTCCTAATTTTCAGCATTTCAGTGCTATTCTGGATTAAGAGCTGGATTGTGAGAAGAGCAAACTGATTAAAATGTTTAAGAAACCAGTTTGAAATGTTTTGGGCTGTTAGATCGTACCTTAATGGAGGATATCAATTGAGGCAACAAATGTCCAACAGCTTTCACCAGAATAGGCGATAGCCATAAGGAAGGAGGAAGGAAAAGGAGTCTAGATGCTTCCTATCATGGTTCCTTTAAGCTTATTTTGCATCGTGTAGTGTACACGAGTTACAAGGGGCGATCAGCCTCTAACGACCACCTCCCGATCCGGAATCGTAGGGTTGGGAGAAAATCAAACATGTTTGAAATTCAGTTGGCCGTCGTAAGGTGGCCGTGGGCAAATCAATCAGTGGGCAAACAACAATTCTTCTTCTTCCTCTCAGATGAAAACACAGAGGCATGATGGGGGTGCAATGGGTGAAATGGAGTTCTTTTAGTAAAATTGACATAGTAGTAGCCACGTTTGCTCGGCCATACGTGGCTACTACATCGCCTTTTCTTTATAGGGCTCTTAGCACAAAATTGCACAAATTACCAAGGCAGCGTGTTTCACTCTAGTGAGCTTCATATTCCTCTTCTACTCGTTTGGCTCCCGGATAGATGAGTCCAAATAGCGCCATCTCACTGTGCAGCTGAGTCCCACGTTGTTTTTAGATGTACAGAGTGAGCAGGTAGATTGCATCAGAGCGTCCAGTCGCACAGTGTGAGAACATACATCGTGAGCTGTGAACTTTTAAACCCTGTGGTTTCAGTGTGCAGTATGAGCTTTAGCTGCATGCAACGATTGGAAAAAATCGCACAGTGTATACCTGGCTTTAGTAAGTAAACCTTGTGAGATCCCTCACAGGTACTAACTAAAAGAAATACAATAAACCTTTGTGTAATTGGAGGAACACCTCACCTTATATTGTGTTACAAAATTACAATATTTCTTCACCCTTATTCTGAGTAACACATGCAAATATACACACCTTAGTATGTTTTGGGCTTTAGAATGGACATCTTCGGATAGTTCGTTCCATTTGTGTAACTTGATGCTGGAGATCGGCCTATTTTCCATTGTGGTCCTGTTTCTCTGACCGTGACTGAGTGGATGTGCTCTCTTCGTCCTCTGGCATGGGAGCTGCCTTGGAGCTCGTCTGCCTGGCTGTGTGTTTCCTGGACGGGGCCGCCTTTTACAGCTGCTTTTTGTGTCTCTGCTTCTGCCTCCTTGAACCCCAGTCCTCCTCAGCAGATGGCCGCTCACACTGAGCCTGGTTCTGCTGGAGGTTTCTTCCTGTTAAAAGGGAGTTTTTCCTCTCCACTGTCGCTACAAGCATGCTTAGTGTGGGGGATTGTATTTGAGTCAATGAGCCGATGCAATCAACTGGTTTTCCTTAGATTGAAAACTTTGTATCGATTTGACTGCATGATCTGGTTGAACTGTAAAGTTCCTTGAGATGACATGTGTTGTGAATTTGGCGCTATATAAATTAAGTGAATTGAAACTGAATTAACTTGCATTATTTGAAAAAATGTTTTACGAAAGTGTAGTCTAATTTTAAAAAGCACCATCAATGTACGTTTCCATTGTGTAATTTTGTAATGCTAAATGCAGTGCATTAAATGCAGTGCAAGAAAAACGACAACTATGAAAATCCCAGTAGGTCAGCAGTTTCTGAGACATTAACAGCAAAACAATCTCAAGTTCAAAGTAACTTCCCGTTCCATGTTGACTTGAAATTGAGTAAGTATTCTTAATTAGGTCTTGATGCCTAAAAGCTCCTACGTGTTACTACATTATTGAAATAGCTGTGGTTTGGTGTACTCAGTAATTGCTTAGGTGCATGTGTGCGTAAAAGTAGAGGTTAATCATTAAAGGTTTTCCTCTGCAGATTCTGACACCAAAAGTTAGCATTTTAGATGGACACACCTAGATGTTAACACATCTATGTGTTACCATGACACATTATTATTTAAAAATAAACCATTTTGGTGATGAAAAGTCACCCAACAGAGTTAAAGATCACATATGAGGAACTAACTGATCAACCTTTGAAGCTTTTCTTTGGAAGCAGTTCTAGCTTCATCTAGAGGACAAATATGTGTACTGCAGCTGTGTGGAGATTATATGCTTGATGAATAACAAACACCAGAACTTTGTTGGTAATTAAGAACTCTATGAATATGTATGAATACATAGCTTTTCAGCTTTTATGGTCCTGTACCTGGCCTACCATCCCTACCTCCGCATCTCACCCACTCTAATATAAATAGAAGATCATATTCACTCTTAGACAACAAAGTTTTAATTGTTAAACTATTATCTATTGAATATCTTCTCCAACTTTCTCCATTAGGGTAGCAATGGGGCTGGTGCCTACAGTATATTCAGCCGTCTAAACGTGGAGTACAACCTAAACAGGTTGGCAATCCATGGCAGGGCAACATAGAGGCACACAAACACACTACTAATAAGGACAATTTAGAGAAGCTAATTAACCTAACAATCATGTTTTTGGATTGTGGGAGGAAGCCTGAGTACCTGGAGAAAACCCCGACGTGCACAAGGAGAACATGCAAAGTCCATGCAGAAAGACTCAAACCCTGGACTGTCTTGCTGCAAGGCAACAGGGCTAAAGACTGGGCAGCCCTTCCTTCAAAGGACCTTTATGGCAAAAGACGGTAAATTTCTAAGACTATTGACTTTCCATTTATATAGTTAAATTCTCAGAAAGTTAACTAGTATGTATGAAATTCATATTGCTCTACCTGTGATGACCCAGGAGAGACTTGAACCCCCCGATGCAGAGGATCCAGAGCTGATGCGTTGTCCATTATGCCACTGGGCCTGTGATATTGCTGTTGTATGCCATAGTGAATTCTAGGAACCACTAGTAAACCTGCAGATTGAGAGCGAAGTGCTCTACTAAGAACATAAGGAACAATCAGATCTCTGATATCAGATGGAGCTTGGCCATTTAAGGCTTCATATGTGAGAAGGAGGATTTTAAATTCTATTCTGGATTTAACAGGAAGCCAATGAAGAGAAGCCAGGATAGGCGAGATATGATCTCTCTTTTTAATTTTCATCAGAACTCTGGCTGCAGCATTTTGGATCAGCTGAAGGCTTTTTAACTACAGCTTGTGGACTTCCTGATAGTAAAGAATTACAATAGTCCAGCTTTGAAGTAACAAATGCATGGACTCGTTTCTCAGCATCACCCCTGGACAGGAGATTTCTAATTTCTGCAATATTCTGCAGATGAAAGAAGGAAATTCTGGAAAGCACTTTGATATGGGATTTAAATGACAGGTCCTGATGAAAAACAACACCAAGATATTTTACTTTAGTATCTGAAATCAGTTTAATCCCATCCAAATGAAGTGACTGATTAATCAGCTTCTTTTTCAGACTCTGGAAGCCTGCCAGATGCCTGGCTCAGAGCATCGCCACTGATGGAAGCTGTATGTCTTCCCATGATGCACCAAACATTTAATAGTTTAATATAGTATGAGTCAGAAATTGCTCCTGGATTGTTTTTTTTTTTCCACAACTGCAAAGACAATAACAAAAATGAATAAATAGAAACCATAGGTTTTTTGTACAACAAAATATTCTGTATTTCTTCATAGGCCTGTTTGGAAAAACAGATTCTTGACCACAAGTTGATGGTTGGAGGGCTCAATGGGCCATGGACAGCTGACAAGGTTGTGCCCCTCTGTCACTGACATGTGACTATGCCATGTTAGTTACCTTAACTAGCAAAGGAGACCCATACAATGATCCTCCATCCATCAAAACAAAAAACAAAAGAAACACACAATGCATTTTAGGGCTGGTAATTTAGCAACTTCTACACCACATATTTGCCTTTCAGATTTCTAGACAAAGAAAGAACTACAAGTGAAGGCCATTTTTTCCCCCCATTTTAGATCAGTTCTATGGATGCTGAAAAGTGCCACAATACGGTAAATAAATTAATTACATATGAAAATAATAATTTTGCCTAAATGTGCCAGACACAATACCACATAGAAGAAGTGTCCATCCCTATGTACTGGTTTACGGCTTGTGTGACTATCAAGGGGATTGGAAAACCTAAATTTAATTGATTTAATTTAATCAAGCAGGGTGACCCAAGGCATCTGGTAGTGTTTGTTGATGTTTGCAAAAAGTATTTTTGTTTTTAATCAAATTGGTCTAAGATCATAAACCAGGACTACTGGGTATTGAAAAACCCAAGAAAGAATAAAACCAGAAACACAGTGAGTAGAAAGTGATGTAAAAGAACCGATCTTTAGCTAATGATGTTTCATTACAAAGTTGATGCTTATGTGCCAGCCTAAAGTAGGTTTTGTTCCTGATGCTCAAGTTTTTGTGACATCAGTTGATGAGCAGCAGTTGTACTCCTCATACATTGAATTGTCCTCCACTGAATTTTATTGATTTCATAATGAAGACCAGCAGGGGTTCCGTTATTCATAAATAGAGTTCAAAAATTCCCCAAATCCATCCAAGCTGCATGTCTTTAAAATCTTGTTTCTACAGTTTCAGCCACAGTTTCCACTGTTGGTGCCGTGTTCTCTTTGCGCCTTAATTTTTTACAGCAGGGTAGAGCTTGAAGAGCCTCCTTTGGACCCTTGGTCATAAATATATAAAGGAAGGGGTCCACCAGTGGACTGAGGTAGAGCAGCATGTGAGAAACCAGCCCCAGGTATTGCACCTGTTCTTTGAAAGACAGAGCCTCTAAGAGGACACTGATGATAAACGGAGAGTAGAGGAAAGTGTAGCTGGCCCAGATTCCCCAGATCCCCCACACTGTCCTCCTCCTCTCTGGGCTAGGAGACTGGGATCGGGAGCAGTGTAATGCCCTCCAGGAATCCATGGCAAAAAAGAGGAGGAAAGGAAAAGGAGCGAGGAGAGAGATGGCGAACCAGAAATCTTGGTGCATTACAGCAAGGGTGAGTATGCCAAAAGGGCTGGCCCATGCCAGCAAGGTCACCACAGGGGACTGCCTTAAGCTGGTGCAACAGCCGAGGCACTGTGGGTAGGCCACCAGCAGGTGGCGCTCCTGAGCTATAAACAACATGAGGGTGATATTGGAAATGACCCCAAAGTAAAAGATGATGTCAGTGCCATTGGTTGATAAGACTGGGTCAGTTTCCAGGCTCTGATCCACAGCAGGGCGACCAAAGAAACTGATGACGTCTGACACCAGGAGGAATATGATGTGCATAGGAACCTTGTTGTCACCTAAAAAGGAAACATGGAGGGAGGAATTACTGATACTGCAATATCAAAACAGCACTCAATGCATTTTTGGTTCTTTAATTATAAATCTACAGCTTAGGATAGATGTCAGTCACTTATCATCAATTATAAATGGGAAATATTACTACCACTGCTAATGGAGATGTGTAAAGACTTATAGTGGATTTGTGTTTTATAGTAGCAGACATCTTTAATCTTACAGTGAAAATTTTATTAATTTTTACCTTTAATCACTCAGCAAAGAATGGCCTCCACAGGCGTACATATAGGGGCCCTCATGCGATCACATTTTTATGCATAAGCCTTTCAAAATTGAGGTTGAGACTAGTTTATGAATGTGTGTCTTAAATAAAACTGCTCATATCAGTATTTGTAATGCGTGTGCACTTTTTTGGAGAATACTGATTTCATAGTCTTTGGCTACGTTACAACCGCAGGCAAATGTGGCCCAAATCGGATTATTTAATCAGGTAAGGCTGTCTAAAAGAAGTGGGGATGCTCAGATCTGTCCATTATCTGACATTTTTTCAACATTTGAGCTACATGCATATGTGGCCCTGAACCTGATCTTTTGGAGTTTGACTCCCCCCACCCAAAACTTGGAGAGAGTTTGTTTCTGCAGTCATCTAGAAGTCGACATTATAAAATACTAAGAACTGCTTAACCAATAATATATATAATATAGAAAGAAACTAATTAGAAAACTGATTTATAAATATATAAAGTTTTATTTGAAAAAGGACCTCATGAAATTTTCTTCTGTCTTCAGTGATGTATGTATATTTGGAAAATTAAGATGTGTGGGTTTATTTTCCTGCAGTACAGTTGAGAGGAGAATTGGTGACATTTGTGAATAAGAGTAATCCTTGATTTAATAAAGTTCTGAATAAACTTGGCCTCTGTGAACTTGTTGAAATGTCCCTATCAAGACAGTTTCTTGTACTGAAATGACAGCCAGATTTACCTTGTAAGCCACAATAAACTTCCAGTCTCTTTTTATTAACATATTTCAACAGCATCTCCTGACATAACAGACAGAATATCAGATTAAAAAGGTACATTTTGTGTATTTCTTAGTTTATATTAGGAATACATGTTTTTTTAAGTATTCTCAACTGTTGTCATCACAATATAAAAACATGTGTAGTTCTCCTACCTCTACCAAGATTTTAACCTTTTAGTTTGATTATTTGCAAGAAACAATCAGGTGGATTTGATGACGCAAAAGATGGATTTGAATTAGAAATATATAATTAAAGGGTTACAATCTTTTTTCTTTTATACATCTACAACTATGGAGGGGAAGCATATTTATGGTCACTGTTTACTTCAGCAGCAACATCATCTCATAGAGGTTGGATTAATGCATTTATTAAGAATCATTTATGCAAACATTTCCTGAGACTAAAAAAGAAAATAGATATAATATTCTGGTTTTAGTTAGTTAGTTTTTAGCTCTAATCTAAAAGAAAAAGTTGAAAAGTGTAAGGATATATTTTGTGTGTTTTGCTTTGCAGACACAATATTCAATTTTAATTAGACAAATATATTGCTAAAGTTCTTAAGTGTCAGTTTCTTTTGGGCAAAATAATTTCAAATATTCAAACCTTTAGACAGATTCTTGAGAGTGTAAAGAGCCAGTCCAAGGGCGGGCAGCCCGATGCAAAAAGTCAGCCACTTCATCACCTTTGCCACCTGCACAGCTTTGGAGGTGCTATTTTCTGTGACATTGAGGATAAATGAGGGATCTGTGGAGCCGTCGGCCATGAGAAGCAGCACAGTTTGTGTCTTCAGCTGTTTAAAGGCGGCACAAAAACCTGGTGAAGATGCCTTTCAGCTGATGCGTTGTAAACTCATCATGATGATTGTCTGAAATTAAGGAAAAATAAAACAAAGATCAATGTATTTAGAGAATTGAATTTAAAGTGCATACAAAGTATTTACATTCCTGGGAGATTATCAAATTGTAATACATTTTAACCACAAACCTCATGTATTTTGTTGGATTTGGGTCTTCTTGACTAACATTTAACATTCTTGATAACATTTATATTTACAATAAAAGGCCTGCTTAGCACAATTCAGTACAAAGACAATTCAAAGTCCTTAACATGAATTAAAGAATAAAACTATTAATCAACAATATCTCAGTTTAACTTTAAATCTCCTGTTTCTGAGCTCCTTTTCCACAGGGGGGAGGATTGTGTGAATGTGACTGAATGAATGTGAATTTATCGTTTTCTGGAGTTGTCTGAAGCGAGGGTCTGTTAAATGCAACATCAGCAAGCTACCTCCTTAGACTGAATAATTAAATTCAGCCTCAAGGTTGCAAAAGATCACATGAATTTTTTTTAAGCGTCTAACATGCAGGAAAAAAAAACCATCACCTTCAACCTGTTCTTACCTGAGTCACCTTCTGTCTGTTCAGAACATCTTTCTCTGACTCTAGGTTGTTTTTAGCTGAACAAAAGAAACGTCTTCTGTTTCCAGGTCAGGTACAGACTCCATAAAGCATTTGCGGAAGAGTTTTGTATCATTGCTGGGAAGCTGGTTACTGCTGCAGCTTTCTTATCTCCAGAATTCAACCAGCTGCTTTGAATGAGGCCTGGATGTTCTGAAAAACCTCTCCTCCTTCATACAGTCCGTTCTGAGCTAGAGAGGAAGAGTTGATTTGCATGTGAGACCAGTGTCAATATGTCAGAGCAATATCTTGAACTTTATCCCTGGTTGTTTGTTGCTTTCATTTTTGAAGACAGGTTGAATTAACTTCTCCAATGAAAACAAATTATCCTTTGAAATGGACTTTTGAGTTCCTCTTAGGTCCTGTAGGAAGACTGGCAGGCTAAAGAGCAGCCAGAAAGCATTTCAGTGATGGCACACTGATTATGTAAACTTGGATTTTTAACCTGATATTGCATAGCTTGCATTAAATGATTAATGTTATCATAAGTGTGCAGTTTTTGACCTATTTTGGTCCTGGAATAGGGAAAATAGTAGGAAATGCAATCCTAACTGACCTCCCACAATGCCTTCTGCGGCCCAAATTGCTGTCACAGAAAAGGAAATCAAGTTTATTTTCAATTCATTTAATTTTAGTACCAAACATTCACAGAATAAGACAAGACACTTTACAGAGACATTTCAATCAAATCATACAATCAGATTGGTAAAAGGTCTTCTAACTAACAAAATCCAGCGGACTGCATCCAAGCATTTACTTTGCAGGACTCACTCCTTCAATGAGCATGTAGCACAGTAGATTGCTCATCTTAAGGTGGTTGCATGTTGGAGTAGCTCTGATAGTTTGACTCTGGTAATATTTTTTACGAGCTATTTCGTTTCTCCCTTTGTGGGTCAAAGTTCTTTTTAAAAAAAATGTTTTTTTCCTTCTTGGATACTTATGATGCTTAATATCTCTAAAGCTGAAATAATGGACCAACTACTTCCGTAAGTACCAGCTGAGATGAGGAGTCACCTGTGGGGAGCAGAGCAGGAGCAAGGAGATGAGAGATGAATAAAAAATTGAAGCCATTTCTTCCATCAATCATCATGGTAAATGTAAGATATTTAGGAAACAAGTTAGAGGAACTTGAAGCCCTAGCAAACACGCAGTCAGAATATCAGCAATACATTATTACTTGTTTGACTGAAACGTGGCTGCAGCATCATATCTTGGACTGCAGTGTCTCTCTGCCAGGTTTTTTGACCATACAGACAGAAATTTGAAGAAGACTGAGCAATTCAAAGGAGGGGGAATGGCAGGGCTTGTGAGCACATGGTCAATCAGACATGTTACTGTGTGGATTTTTCACTGCAGCCAAGATATTGAACTATTGGTTTTGGCCATACAATTTTCCCAGAGGATTTACCAATGTTCTGTCAGTAACCATTTACATTTCACCATCTGTTCTGCTGTTGCTAAGCTACAGAAACAACAGCCAAATGCTTTTGTGCATTTAGTGCCTCACTCTTTGCTACACTACCAGTGTTCCAACAATTTATTAGCTGCTGCACCAGAGAAATTCAACATCTTTTATACCAATGTCAAGGACTCATACATCTCTGAAGTATGACATAATCTTGGGAAATCAGATCACAATCTTGTTTTTTTCTCTTTAGATTTCAACCACTTTATAAGAGACAACTTGCGTTAAAAATAACTGTAAGGAGATGGTCGCAGGAAGTTGAAGAAGCCCTGCAGTGTTGTTTTGAGGCTTCAGACTGGGATGAACTGTGTCAGCCACATGGAGAGGACATCAATGCAATGACTGAGTGTTAGACTGACTACATCAACTCCTGTACAGAAAACACCATCCCTACCAGAAGAGGGAAATGCTTCCCAGATAATAAACCATGGATCACAGATGATCTGAAGGAACTGCTCAACAAGAAAAAACAGCCTTTAAGAAGGAAAGCAGAAACTGATGAAGAAGGAGACCGTTCCAGTGATGACCCTTATTTCATCATTCTGCTTCATTCTATCTCTATTCTCCCACTCTGCAGACTCTATTAGTTCATTCTCTAACGTTCTGCTCTCTCTGCTTTTTCTCATAATAGCTTCATCTGGTCTGTTCCTGTTTGGCTGTGACTCCATCCTGGAGAGAAATATCAGCTGTGCTGCTGCCATCAACACCTTTGTTTATAGATGCTGGAGATCGGGCTGTTTTTCCAGTGTAGTCCCGTTTCTCTGACTGTGACTAACTTGTTGTGCTCTCTTCATCCTCTGACATGGGAGCTGGCTCGGAGCTCGTCTGCCTGGCTGTGTGTTTCCTGGACGGGGCCGGCTTTTACAGCTGCTTTTTGTATCTCTGCTTCTGTCTCCTTGAACCCCAGTCGGCCTCAGCAGATGGCCGCTCACACTGAGCCTGGTTCTGCTGGAGGTTTTTTTCTGTTAAAAGCGAGTTTTTCCTCACCACTGTCGCTACAAGCATGCTTAGTGTGAGGGATTGCTGATGAGTCAATGAGTCGATGCAATCAACTGGTTTTCCTTAGATAGAAAACTTTGAATAAATCTGACTGGATGATCTGGTGAATGGTAAAGTGCCTTGAGATGATGTGTTGTGAATTGGCGCTATAGAAATAAACTGAATTGAATTGATTGTGGAAGACGTCCTGCCTTGATCCAGGACCAAAGAAGACTCAACCAGCAGTTCTCAGTGACTATAGACCTGCTGCCCTGACATAGTCCTAGAGAGACTTCCGCTGGTTCGCCTCAGCAAGCAAATCAGCAGCTATAAGGACCCACTGCTGTTATCGCCATGGAGATGGAGTTGTAACATCATACACCTGCTTTAAAGGGGAACACCGTTTTTTTTTTTACATTGGCCCCTTGATTTTAGGTTATTACATCACATTTTACTCACCCATATTAGTTTTGTGTCATTTGGAGCTGTTCCGAAGATATTCGGTTTTGTAATCCAAGTAACGTCTTCGTATGAGCAACGAGTTGAAGGCACAAACTAAACTGTTCATCATTTATTCTTTATGGTACGCCAGCATTCATAACATGTAGGTGAATCACTGTCCCCCAGACATCCACGGTTATATTTTTCATATTTTTTCTTAAACAGAGTGTGTATGACTTCATCCGTGCGCCGGACTGGAGTTGTGATAGGCAGCCCGGGCCACAGGCGGCTACGCTCTACCCCTTTATTAATTCAGCGCTATCTGACGTGGTTTATAGGCCTGTCAGATAGCGTTCCCCCCGATGTCATTTACGTGGAGTTGCAATAAATCCCAACTCTCTGCAGGTACTTATCTTTGTCTTCCACTCTATTCAGCTGGCTTTTGAAACACACGCCAAGAAGGTGGGGGCCGGGTGGTGAGAGTTACGGGGGCAAGAAACGCAAAAGTAACGCAATAGTTACTTTTACTAGTAACTAGTTAGTTTTATTGTGGAGCAACTCAGTTAGTAACTCAGTTACTTTTTGGGAGAAGTAACTAGTAACTATAACTAATTACTTTTTCAAAGTAACGTGCCCAACACTGGCAACAGTCACATAAACAAAAACGGAATAATCCAGGCCAACAGACCTTAGAGAGGGACAGAATAACCCTATTTACACTACCCTTGAAAAACCGTGCCGATACTGGTCCGAGCTCAGTAACTGAGATAACTTATCGTGTGTAAATGGAAAGCAAACTGAACTGAACCGAGCTAGACACAACCGAACCGAGATAACTGCAGACCAGTTCCAGAGGTGGGCTCGGCTCGGTTTTTCCCTCGCGCGGTTCTCTAATAACAAGAGCGCATGAGCAGAACGCATCATCTCCGTCTGGCTGCACATCCCGATTCACACTCCATTCCAGTAGTTGGCGGTAATGCCCCTCCGGAAGTTGTTTGCCAACCAACACAAAACAGAAGAAGAACAACAACTATAAACAACAATTGAAATCTTCTCCAAGCAACATTTTAAATAATGGCATTTTAAATAATAACACCGAAGTACAGCAATAATAATCAAGCATAACTTTCTGAATGTGACGGGCGCCGCCATTTTGATTTGCTTGATTCCCTCCTTCTTCGTCTTCTTGTGTTTAATGGTGGTTGGCAAACAGCTTTTGGTGCATTACCGCCAGTGACGTGCGGTGAGGTTCATAGCTGGTGAGGCACTGACGTCATCAGAATCAGATTTGCAAATAGATGCATAGATTGACAGCAGTTAACAGGTTATGTTTCACTTCTGCATCCTTACACATACAAACTGAACTGTAGCTCACAAAACACACATTTCCTTAAAAAACAAAACAAAATAAATGTTATTACTGTCTTACCTTTACTTATAAATGAAGTCCACGCGTCGCTCCTTCTGCACAAAAACATCCGTCACTTTGCGATAGAAGTCCTCCTTATCTTCCTTCACATTTCTGCTCGAATCGGAGGTAGTAACTGTCAAACTCCAGTCTCATGCGCTCCATGACTGAAACTGTGTCCCGGATGCGCGCAACACAGTATTCAATGTCCGTCACTTTGTTTTGCAGCACTCTGAAAAGTGCGTCGGTCTCATTGAAAATGCCATCAAATGTATGGATAAGAAAGCATGTAGATGCTTTTGACAGCCACCGATCATATCCTGCTGCCATCATCAGCGTGTCATTATCCCAGCTATCGGGATTTTCCATAATGACATTAAACACAGCACGCAGATCGTTTTGGTGCATGCTTATTGTCTGCAGCAGCCGAGAATTTGAATTCCACCTTGTCGGCGCTGCTCTGGGTAAACGGCGCTTGACAACATCATCCAACAAACGAGTGCGCTTTGTGGACTTGCTGAAAAATGCCCCGAGTCCCTCAGCTGTTTTAAAAAACGCACGACACTTGGGCATGCACTTTGCTGAATGCAATAGCACCAGGTTCAGCTTGTGTGCGTAACAGTGTGTAAACATGGCCTCAGGCACCTTTTCCTTAATTTTAGCCTGCACCCAATTAAGCTCTGATGCCATTACAGCTGCCCCATCATATGTCTGAGCTACAAGCTTATCAAAACAGCCGTATTTCTCCAGCACACTCAGG